TCTACACTTTTTGTTTCACTTTTCAGGCCGGGGATAGGTGCTTTCTTCACATTGGTAATAAAAATGAGACCAGAGAGTTCTGTTCGATTCACAGATCATCAAAGTCCACCGATGCTAGTATTTTATGAAGTGTGTTCTTACAGTCTCTCTGTGGAACAGGTCATTGGTGAGAACAATCTAATAATGGGTTCTTGCCATGTATTGCTCATGATTGCAAGATCGGTGACAACAACATATCTGCCAACAATACTCTTCTTGCAGGCCATGTGGTCGTAGAGGTAATATTAACTATACACACACAGCAGGAGCCACTGTGGTTCACCAGTTTTGCCACATTGGTTCTTTCTCTTGCATCAGTGGTGGTTCAGTGGTATGTCCTTTCTCAGAGCTCTCAGTTGCAATGTGCCTTTCCTCACACAACGGGAACTCTTATCGGGTTTTCTGCATAAAAAGTGGAATGCAAAGCTCCGGGTTTTTTCTTGTTGTCTGAATTATAGGCTTCACAAGATGTGCCAAAGTACATGATGGTGACCGGAGAAAGAGCAGAAATTCGGGGTCTGAAAGTACGTATTGGTTTGAAGAAGGGTGATTTTCTTAGAATATCTATAAGGTTCCTTAAAACTCGTCAATGTGATATGAACTACAAAATTCATCAAAATAAGAAGTTTAATTTTATAAATATATCATCGAATTTTAAACTCATAAAATTTTTACATGCTAGAAATACATAATATCCATGCTATAGAAAATATCCAGTTTATCAAAGACAAGAATTGTCGTGGTGATGATGGTAACGCAAAATGGAAGACGGTACACTCGAATGAGATAAAATAATATACTAAATTTCTCGATACAGTATAACAATAATTATATCTAATAACTAAATTTTGTCTTTGTGATAGAAAAATAAGGAATATTTTTACAATTAATGAGGATTGAGGAGAAAACTAGAAAACAAAATATTTCGGACTCCGTGTTCGGCATCGAGGCTTCCGACGTTCTTCAAGATAATGTCGTAACACTAACACATATATATAATATTTTTATAAAATGTTCGGCCCATTTCCTTGGGCTTCCTTCTTTTCTTCTTACACTTCGTTCTAGGGTTCGTATCAGAACTCAGAAGCAAAGCAGATTTGCCATTTCATGTATTTTGTGGCACGCTAACAAATTTCCTCTCTGTTCGTTCTGAACCTTCACGATGTCGCCGATGGTTCGGAGAGTGGCTGCCGTTGCATTGTCTTCTGCATCATGCTTCATTCGTACTCCTCTCTCACACAAAGGTATTTCCGATGCAGTCTTACGTTGTTCCTCTGCTTTATGTTGTCGGAGACTGGCTTATTCTGGTGTCGGAGACAGCGATATGTCGTTCAGAGAGAGATTGAGACGTGGGTTTGCTGATAGTAATGTCGACGAAGCTGTTGCTTTGTTCCATCAGATGGCTCGGTCTCGCCCCCTCCCTTCAATTATCGATTTCAATATGTTATTGAGTGCCATCGCCAGGATGAAACGGTATGATGTTGTGATTTTGCTTTGCAAATCAATGGAATTGCTCGGGATTTCACATGATTTGTGCACCTTCAATATTCTGTTAATTTCTTTCTGTCGCTCACGTCAAGCGGTCTTAGGATTTTCGGTGTTGGGACAGATCATGAAGTTGGGTTACGAACCTAGTGCTGTCACATTCAACACCCTGATCAATGGGTTCTGCATCCTAGGTGAAGTTTCCGCAGCTTTAGGCTTGATGGAGCGAATGGTGGATGCGGGACTTCAACCTGATGTCGTAACATTTAACACTGTCGTCAACGGACTTTGTCTCAAGGGTAGAATTCATGAGGCAGTAACTTTGACAGAGCAGATGGTAGAAAAAGGCTCTCAACCCGATACTGTTACTTATAACACCATTTTGAATGGGATTTGCAAGCTAGGGGATTCTACTTTAGCTTTGGATTTGGTCAAGACGATGGAGGAAAGGTGCACGATGGTCACCGTCGTAACATATAATACGATTATCGATTGTCTTTGCAAATCTGGGAACATTGACGATGCGTTGGGCGTTTTTAGTAACATGAATGGTCGAGGAGTTGTATCGAATGTTATTACGTATAACACTTTGATTAATGGCCTCTGCAGTTCAGGCAGATGGAACGACGCCTCACAATTTTTGAAGGATATGATCAGAAGGAAAATCATGCCCGATGTTGTTACTTTCTCCGGATTAATCGATAAATTCATTAAAGAGGGGATGTGTCTAGAGGCTAAAGAACTGTTCGAGCTGATGCTCCAAAGAGGTTTGGTTCCAGATACGATCACTTATACTTCACTGATTGATGGGTTTTGCATGCAGAATCGCCTTGATGAAGCAAGACAAATGTTTGATTCTATGGTTACCATGGGATGTTTTCCAAATGTAGTGACGTTTGGTGCTCTCATAAATGGATACTGCAAGTCTGGTAGGGTCGATAAGGGTCTCGGACTCTTTAGCGAGATGTCTCGAAGAGGGGTGGCTGCTAATAACATAATTTACAATTCTCTCATTCAAGGATCTTGCCAGACAGGCAACCTTGATGCCGCCCATACGCTTTTCTTCGAGATGCAATGTCATGGTCCACTTCCTGATCTAATCACTCACACGATTTTTCTTGATGGACTATGTAAAAATGGAAAACTGGATGAAGCATTGGATTTATGCAGCAAGATGGAAAAGGATGGGATGAGCCTTGATATAGTTGTATATAGTATTTTCATTCATGGCATGTGTAAGGCGGAAAAGGTTGACGAGGCATTGCAATTGTTTAATTTGCTTTCGGATAAAGGGATGGAACCAAATGTGATAACATATAATACGATGATTTCGGGACTCTGTCAGAGAGGTTTATTTGGTGAAGCCGAGAAGTTATTTAGTGAGATGAAAGAGACTGGTTGTTTGCCGAATGATCGTACATACAACACATTGATCCAGGGTTATCTAAATCAGGGATACACGGTAAAGGGTATCAAACTTATAAAAGAAAAGAAGAGATGTGGGTTCTCTGGAGATGCGTCAACGATAAAGATTGTGGTAGATATGCTATGTGACGGTAGGTTGGACAAAGAGTTTTTGGGTTCTCTTTGATAACGGACCTTGCTTCCTGTGATGGCAATCATCTGAGTACGAGGTGAGTTGTTTTTTTCTGGCCTACAGATTTGGATGTGTTAGTTTGGATTTGGATATCAAATGCGTTGAGACCTTCAAGGAGCTCCAATCTGATCGTTCTTTGGATGATTTGCAGACAGCCCGGTAAGGTTATGAGGAAAGATGAGATGGAGTGCCAACTTCATCTTTGATGCAGAAGTCAACTTAACAAAGTCTTCTTGCTGAGGAAGACATCACAATAAGGTTGGCATGAAACCTACTCTGGTTGCATCAATCATTCTACATGTTTGTCTCATGATGAAGCTGAATTTAAAAGGTAACGTCTGTTCTGTTTTTCATCGTTTGGTCCAAATGAAAAGAAAACATTTGTAATGTAATTTCTGAAATAGATCTGTTCCTTACCATATGGTCTCCTGTTTAATCATATGGGCTACTTCAAAATCGTTCCATCCTATTCCTATTCTTAGCTTTATTTTCTTATTTTATGATATTGTTGAGATAAAATTGTGCTAGACATGCATTTGATTTGAATTCAGCGAGTAAGAGTGTGTTCCTTTCTGGTAAGGGACAATCGCAATGGATCTGATCACTTCATCATGTCTTCTTTTTGGTGACTTAGAGGAAGTCAACTTCTTGCTGTAGAAAACATCATCACACATAGGGTTTGCATGAGATCACCGCTCCTGAATTACAAATAATGGCTTTGTATCAATAAAACCATCAAAATTTATGCTAATTAAATTGTCGTTTCAAAAGGATTCCTTCACGTAAAATAAAACTAAATATCATGCAATTGTTTTTTGCAATGTCCTATGGAGTTTAGAATCAATGCCCAAATAAGTCTACTTAAAAGGCCCAATGGATGTAATATATATATATATAAATTGCAACTCTTTTTGGTTTGCATTAATATCCAAACAAAGTATCATAAGCTTTTAATTTCCATATTTTTGTCTTTCAATGTGTAAGAGGAGATTTAACTAACAGAGACAAACCGGTCTTCCTGTTGCGTTGGGTTTGATCTGCTTATCCTTCAGTTAACGCTCTTATGGGGTCGATGATGCATTGGTCCGATCTGACACCAACTAAAACTCGTCTCTTGGTCCCGACAGCCGCCGTGATTGCCGAAACTTGGTGGATGAGTGTTAATAAACAGCAAACCCAACCCATTAAATGGAAAAATGGATGTTTCGGTTGGTCCGTTTTGTACTATTGGTTCTTCGGCAAAGCTGGGCGATGGATGCAAACTATATCCTTCTAGCCACATCTTTGGGAACACAAAATTGGGGGATTCTTGCGTCCTTATGACGTAGGCCGGTTTTGCTCTTCTGACCGGTGGTATATGGTATTTCCTCTCAATTTTTTAACGTTGTTCTGGTGTGTGTGTGTATATGCCTTGATTTTTGTCAGCCAGTGGTGCTGTTGTTGATGATGATGATCTCCCCGAGTTATAAGGTATATCAACGTTATTGGTCGCCATGCTGTGGTTGGTCTTAAATGCCAAGACATGAAATACAAGGTGATCAGAAAATGATAACTTGTCATATTCCGTGTTACGGGTACTCTGCTTAAGAGTTGAGACCAATTCAAAAGCCTGTGTACTGATCTGGAGTCTGCACGTTTTGTTTTACTTTTCAGGCCGGGGATAATTGCTTTCTTCACATTGGTAATAACAATGAGATCAGAGAGTTCTGTTCGATTCACAGATTATCAAAGTCCACCGATGCTGGTTATTGACCGATATGAGCAAAATATCTAGTCTTTATGAAGTGTGTTCTTACAGTCTCTTTGTGGAACAGTTCATTGGTGAGAACAATCTAATAATGGGTTCTTGCCATGTATTGCTCATGATTGCAAGATCGGTGACAACAACATATCTGCCAACAATACTCTTCTTGCAGGCCATGTGGTCGTAGAGGTAATACTAATGATACTACTTGAATGGCATGGTTTTTATTCGGATCTGTATCTATGTAATTTATCGCCAAATTTAAGCTGTTGCTGCTGAAAAATGCAGGACTATACACACAGCAAAAGCCACTGTGGTTCACCAGTTTTGCCACGTTGCTACTTGAATGGCATGATTATTTAGAGATGTTGCAGGAACAAGGCAGAGATCAGTACGGAGTTCCCGTGGTGCGGGAAATGCAGTCAATCTGGGATTCTTTCTCTGAAAACCGTTGTGGGATCTACAAGTTGAGGCAGTGGTCGGGTTCTTGAGTATCACTGCCTAGTCTTCTCTCCCTTGTTTTGTTGTATATGGACCTCTTCGATGTGTGTTCAATCACAAACAATGGCTGAAGCTACCTTTAATAGAATTTTTGCTTTGGTACCAAAAAGTACATATTGGTTTGAAGAAGGGTGAAATCTCTTGCAAAACATGTTCTCTTCGGGAGCATCTAAAGATACTACTTTGGTATTAAACAAAAGAGAAAAAAAAAACACTAAACTCTCAAATTTTGACAAAAACTTTTTATTTTATCAAGGGAAAAACTCCTAAAAATTTCTGGAAAAAAATTCCTGAACTTGTGAGGATGCCAAATAATTCCTGATCTTGCAAAAAGTGTCTCAATAAATCCTAATCTTGTTAAAAAGTGTCATATTAGTCCTTCGAAAAAAACTGATTATAATAATATGATTCTATATCCAACGTGGGAGGTGACATGATACGATACGCGAACTGATAAGTTTCTTTATTGTTAGTGTTAGGGTTTTGTTTTTAGTTTTTTTTTGGGTAGTTGTTGGAATTCTTAGCCCTTTTGTAAGGAGCCAATGGACTTGTGGGAAAGATATGTGAATTAACTAAATTATCATCCCATTGGTATCTAAAAATTTTGTTTGCTTTATAAAGTAGATGTGATGATGCTAAGAGAAGTGGAGCCCTTAACCAAAAGAAAACATACTAGCATCTTTTAAAATATGTCACAATTTTCAACCTTTTTTTTAAAATTAAAAAACAGGAAATTATTAAAAAAAATGATGAAAAAAAACGTCTATGGAGGAATCTAGAGTCATAGGAATATAGGGTCTTGGCCTCTCTTGGTTTATGTTTAGTTGTTTCCCAAATTGAAATAAAATGAGCATTAGAACACAAGTGTCCAATGTCTCATATGTCTTAATGGCCCAAATTTGATGCAACATGCAAACGAACCAATCTAAGTTATCCATAACTATAATGTTCATATATAGATGAAGAATTTAAGATGATTCGAATTCCCAACATTAAGATGAGGTCAGTATTTAACCAACTTATATGGGGTTTCTCCCATGTGATCCTACATTGTTTCCATTCAAGTGAAATTTAGTCTTTCATTTGTGCTCTTAGGGTTAAACCACCCACACCCCTCGTTCTTATTATTTCCCATTACTAAATTAAATTCGACTTTGTAATTGTTTTCCTTCCGAATATATAGCTTGACGAACACAATTACTGATTATATATAATATCGTAGATGATCGGATTCATATATTCCACTATTATTGACCTTTTTCGATATTGCAGAGGGAATGAAGGAGACGAAAAAAGAACTTTAGGAATTTTCTCAGTGTATTGCAAAACTGCGTTGTACATCATGTATATATACCAAACGAATTAAGGAATCAATTTGCAAGAAAACAAACCTATCCTATAAAGGCTATATAGAGCCTTGCAATCTGTCTGCTAAACCAGAGACTGAAAAGCTGAGCATAACCAAACCATAACCGAAAGAGCTTAACCGATAATAATCTTAATTCTTTGTTCTTTTTTTATTTGAAACAATACGGGTACCATATAATATTTTTAAGATGCCGATTAGATGTTTATATTCAATGGTTTAGGGTCTAAAAACAGTTCAAGGTAAGTACATTCCGTATGTTAGGTTTCACAAATTAACGTATTTTCTTCCATTCTTTTACGTCTTTTGGTATTTCATTCGTAGATGCACCATTCCATATCTTAGTAGCCTTAATAAAAAAAAAAATGAAGTAGTTCGATTATCATTTTTTTCTTGCTCCTTTAATGTTTTAATCATGTCAATTTCTCACTACAAAAAATAAAAAAATAAAATAAAAATAAAATTTTGACATGCCTACTTCTTTGTCGTAATAAAATATCCAACTAATTTTTTTTTGGTGGTTGGTTGGATGGTTATGTGACATTTTCATTTGTTTCTCAACATCATCACATAATTTTGACATGCCTACTTCTTTGTCGGACAACAAATATTTCACGATTATGACGCATCATTTTCATTTGTTTCTCAGCATCATCACATAATTTAGTAAATATTATATCAAATTCTCGGGTCTGATATTCGAAAATTTGAGTGTATAAGATTTTGGAACCGAATAGTTTGAAGTTCTGGAATCTGATTTTGAATTTTATTGTTAACTGTATAAGACGCTAACCACATTTGCAATTTCATGTATTTCGGCATACTAACAAATCTCCTCTTTCCTTAAAGCTGTTCTAGGTTTCTCTCTGTTCTTTCTGAAGCTTCACGATGTCGCCGATGGTTCGGAGAGTGGCTGTCGTTGCATTTTCTTCTTCTGCATCATGTTTCATTCGTACTCCTCTCTCTCACAGAGGTATTCCCGACACAGTCTTACGTTGTTCCTCTGCTTTATGTTGTCGGAGGTTGGCTTATTCTGGTGTTGGAGACAGCGATATGTCGTTCAGAGAGAGACTGAAATGTGGGTTTGCTGATAGTACTGTCGATGAAGCTGTTGCTTTGTTCCAGCAGATGGTTCAGTCTCGCCCCCTCCCTTCAATTATCGATTTCAGTATGTTATTGAGTGCCATAGTCAAGATGAAACGATATGATGTTGTGATTTCGCTTTGTCATCAAATGGAATTGCTCGGGATTTCACATAATCTCTACACTTTGAACATTCTGATCAACTGTTTCATTCGCTCACATCAAGCAGTCTTAGGATTTTCGGTTTTGGGTAAGATCATGAAGTTGGGTTACAAGCCTAATACTGTCACATTCAACACCATAATCAATGGGTTCTGCATCGGAGGTGAAGTTTCTGCAGCTTTAGACTTGATGGAGCGAATGGTGGACGCGGGACTTCAATCTAATGTCATAACATTTAACACCGTCGTCAACGGACTTTGTCTCAAGGGTAGAATTCACGAGGCAGTAACTTTGATTGAGCGGATGGTAGAGAAAGGCTCTGAACCCAATATTGTTACATATAACACGATTTTAAACGGCATTTGCAAGCTAGGGGATTCTGCTTTAGCTTTGAATTTGATCAAGAAGATGGAGGAAAGATGCATGATGGTCGACGTCGTAACTTATACTACGATTATCGATTGTCTTTGTAAATGTGGGAATGTGGATGATGCGTTGGGCGTTTTTAGTAAGATGGATGATCGAGGAGTTTCATTAGATGTTGTTACCTATAACACTTTGATAAACGTCCTCGCGATTATTGAAGGATATGATCAGAAGGAAAATCATGCCCAATGTTGCTACTTTTACCGGATTAATCGATAATTTCATCAAAGAGGGGATGTTTCTAGAGGCTAAAGAACTGTTCGAGCTGATGCTCCAAAGAGGTTTGGTTCCAAATACGATCACTTATACTTCACTTATTTACGGGTTTTGCATGCAAAAACGCCTTGTTGAAGCCAGACAAATATTTGATTCTATGGTTACCAAGGGATGTTTTCTAAATGTAGTGACATTTGGTGCTCTCATAAATGGATACTGCAAGTCTGGTAAGCTTGATGAGGGTCTCGAGCTCTTTAGTCAGATGTCTCGAAGAGGGGTGATTGCTAATAACATAATTTACAATTCTCTCATTCAAGGATTTTGTAAGGCAGATAACCTTGATGGCGCCCAGACGCTTTTCTTCGAGATGCAATGTCATGGTCCACATCCCGATCTAATAACTTACGTGATTTTACTTGATGGGTTGTGTAAAAATGGAAAGCTTGAAGAGGCATTGGAATTATATAACAAGATGGAAAAGAATGGGATGAGCCTCAATGTATTTGTACACAATGTTATCATTCATGGGTTATGCATGGCTGAGAAGATTGATGAGGCATTGCAGTTGTTTAATATGCCTTTCAGATAAAGGGATGGAAACCAAATGTGATAACATATACTACGATGATTTCGGGGCTTTTGTGGTGGAAGAGGTTTATTTGGTGAAGCCGAGAAGCTATTTCAGGAGATGAGAGACGCAGGTTGTTCGCCGGATGACCGTACATACATTGCATTGATCGCACATACTAGGTTTCCTCTTGTTTGACCCAATGAAAGATAGATCTAATATTGTTTTTTTTCTTTCTTGTAAAGAGCAAGATAAGAGTTTATATTCAGAATTGATGCAAATCATACTGTCATTTCAAAAGTATTTATTTATGTAAATAAGAAGCCTTAAAATTCTAAAAAACCAAGTATCATCATGCAATTGTTTTTTTTTAAAAAAAAAATTCCTATGGGAGTTTAGAATCAATGCATAAAAGCGGTAGGAAGATTAAAAATTGCAACTCTTTTTCCTTGTCATATTTTTGTTTTCCAGTGGTAATTTGTAATTTCAACATTAAGTTTGGAGAGATTGAAAAATCATACATTTCGCATCGAATGTAATACGTCGTAACCAGAATCCAAAATCTCATAAAATAAGCTTTCGTTTTCCTAAATTAAGACAATAGTTATATATAAATAAACTTAAATTATTCTCACGTCGGTCAGTATTATAATTATTCTGATTATTGTTCTTGGCGGGGTTTCGCTTAAATTCTTATAATGCCAACTGGCAGACAGAGTCTCTCTCATGTTTTAACATAAATGAAAATAAATTACGAAAATTTGCATTAAATTTAACTTTGCTGAGCTTATAAAATCTTCGGCCCATTTCCTTCGGCCTTTAGCTCCAAACGGTTTGGGCTTCCTTCTTCTCACCCTTCGTTCTAGGGTTCGTATCAGAAGCAAAGCAGATTTTGCCATTTCATGTATTTCGGCACACTAACAGACTTCTTCTTTCCTCAAATCTGTTCTAGGTTTCTCTCTGTTCGTTCCTCAGCTTCACGATGTCGCCGATGGTTCGGAGAGTGGCCGCCGTTGCATTTTCTTCTTCTGCATCATGTTTCATTCGTACTCCTCTCTCTCACAGAGGTATTCCCGACACAGTCTTACGTTGTTACTCTGTTTTATGTTGTCGGAGGTTGGCTTATTCTGGTGTTAGAGACAACGATATGTCGTTCAGAGAGAGATTGAGATGTGGGTTTGCTGACAGTAATGTCCACGAAGCTGTTGCTTTGTTCCATCAGATGGTCCGGTCTCGCCCCCTCCCTTCAATTATCGATTTCAACATGTTGTTGAGTGCCATCGCCAAGATGAAACGGTATGATGTTGTGATTTCGCTGTGCAAATCAATGGAATTGGTCGGGGTTTCACATGATCTCTACACTTTGAGCATTCTGATCAATTCTTTTTGTCGCTCACGTCAAGCGGTCTTAGGATTTTCGGTTTTTGGAAAGATCATAAAGTCGGGTTACGAGCCTGATACTATCACATTCAACACCCTGATCAATGGGTTCTGCATCCTAGGTGAAGCTTCCGTAGCTTTAGACTTGATGGAGAGAATGGTGGAGGCGGGACTTCAGCCTGATGTCGTAACATTTAACACTGTCGTCAACGGATTTTGTCTCAAGGGCAGAATTCATGAGGCAGTAAGTTTGACTGAGCGGATGGTAGAGAAAGGCTGTCACCCCAATACTTTTACATACAACACCATTTTGAACGGCATTTGCAAGATAGGGGATTCTGCTTTAGCTCTAGATTTGGTCAAGAAGATGGAGGAAAGGTGCACGGTGGTCGATGTCGTAACTTATAATACGATTATCGATTGTCTTTGCAAATCTGGGAACATAGACGATGCGTTGGGCGTTTTCAGTAAGATGGATGATCGAGGAGTTGTATCGGATGTTATTAGCTATAACACTTTGATAAACGGGCTCTGTAGTTTAGGTAGATGGAACGACGCCTTGCGATTACTAAAGGATATGATGAGAAGAAAAATCATGCCCGATGTCGTTACTTTCAACGGATTAATCGATAAATTCATTAAAGAGGGCATGTTTCTGGAGGCTAAAGAACTGTACGAACAGATGCTCCAGAGAGGTTTGGTTCCAAACACGGTCACTTATAATTCACTGATTGATGGGTTTTGCATGCAGAACCGTCTTGATGAAGCAAGACAAGTGTTTGATTCTATGGTTACCAAGGGATGTTTTCCAAATGTAGTGACGTTTGGTGCTCTCATAAATGGATATTGCAAGTCTGGTAGGGTCGATAAGGGTCTCGAGCTCTTGAGTGAGATGTCTCAAAGAGGGGTGACTGCTAATAACATAATTTACAACTCTCTCATTCAAGGATTTTGCCAGGCAGGCAACATTGATGCCGCTCAGACGCTTTTCTTCGAGATGCAGCGTCGCGGTCCACATCCTGATCTAATAACTCACACGATTTTGCTTGATGGGCTGTGTAAAAATGGAAAACTTGAAGAGGCATTGGAATTATATGACAAGATGGAAAAGGATGGGATGAGCCTAAATATAGTTGTACACACCGTTATCATTCATGGCATGTGCAAGGCGAAAAAGATTGATGAGGCATTGCAGTTGTTTAATCTGCTTTCGGATAAAGGGGTGGAACCAAATGTGATAACATATAATATGATGATTTCGGGACTATGTTGGAGAGGTTTATTTGGTGAAGCCGAGAAGTTATTTAGTGAGATGAAAGAGACTGGTTGTATGCCGAATGATCGTACATACAACGCATTGATCCAGGGTTATCTAAAACACGGATACACGTTAAAGGGTATCAAACTTATAAAAGAAAAGAAGAGATGCGGGTTCTCTGCAGATGCGTCAACGATAAAGATTGTGGTAGATATGCTATGTGACGGTAGGTTGGGCCAAGAGTTTTTGGATTCTCTTTGATAACGGGGCCTTGCTTCCTGTGATGGCAATCGTCTGAGTAGGAGGTGGGTTGTTTTTTCTGGCCTATAGATTTGGATTTGGATATCAAATGCGTTGAGACCTTCAAGGAGTTCCAATCTGATCGTTCTTTGGATGATTTGCAGACAGCCCGGTAAGGTTATGATGAAAGATGAGGTGGAGTGTCAACTTCGTCTTTGATACAAAAGTCAGCTTATCAAAGTCTTCTTGCTGAGGAAAACGTCACAATAAGGTTACCATGAAACCTACTCTGGTTGCATCAATCATTCTAATGTCTGTTCTGTCTCTTATCACTTCCTCATGTTTGCTTGGCGTGAAAATGGATAATAGAATCGCATGTTGTTTCTCCCCCTCAATTAAAATTTATAAAACCTGGGCCTATAGTTGGTAGAAAAATATAAGAATTTTATGCCATATTTAATGACAACAACATCAACGGCCCATTAACTACCATGTTGATTATGCTATTGAATCGCACTTAAAATATCTAACAATATTTGTAATCATCGAATTTAAATTTAAATTTAAATTTAATTCTAGCAAGCTCGTAACCTGCTCTCTATTTGATGATTTCACAGATCTCAATTGTCAAACTCGCAACATAACGACCAAAGCGACTTGTGTCATATTTTTGCTCAACTAAACCTTTTAAAATAACGAAAGTCAAAACATTTAATAATAACTGAACGATAACATAATATAAATGGCAAACATTAAATAGTAAGAACTATTAACACCGCATTAATACAAAATAAAAATCACACCACGCAAATCATTAAAGCTTTTGAAAAATGATCAATGAACCCCATTGGCATTGTACCCCCACCATCCATAAAAATAGTAACTTTTTTTTAAAATGTCTGCTTATGTGTCTTAGTTTCACTGAATAATTCTCACTTTTAATCATTTCCAATTTTATCACATTACCTCAATCTTCTTATTAAATGATATCAAACGATCCATAAAATTAAACTCAAACCCAAAATATAGATGATGCACTTGTGGTTTTGTTTTTAGTTTTTTTTTTTTTTTTTTGTAGTTGTTGGAATTCTTAGCCCTTTTGTAAGGAGCCAATGATGCACTTGTGGGAAAGATATGTGAATTAACTAAATTATCATCCCATTGGTATCTAAAATTTTTGTTTGCTTTATAAAGTCGATGTGATGATGCTAAGAGAAGTGGAGCCCTTAACCAAAAGAAAACATACAAATTTCAACCTTTTTTTATATTAAAAATAGAAAATTATTTAAAAAAACGTCTATGGAGGAATCTAGGGTTCTAGGAATATAGGGTCTTGGCCTCTCTTGGTTTATATTTGGTGGTTTCCCAAATTGAAATAAAATGAGCATTAGAACACTAAGTGTCCAATGTCTCATATGTCTTAATGGCCCAAATTTGATACAACATGGCTTTCATGGATTTTTGTTTGTCCTTCACTAATGTTCCTCTAAGATAAATTGCCTTTTTTTTAAATAAAAAAAAAATCAAGTGTCCTACATTGTTTCCATTCGAGTGAAATTAAGTTCTCCATTTTTTTACCAAAAAAAAAAGTTTTCCATTTGTGCTGTAAGGATTAAACCTCCCACATCATTCATTCTTATTATTTACCATTACTAAATTAAATACTACTTCATAATTGTTTTCCTTCACAATATATAGTTTGACAAACACAATTACTGATTATATTTAATATCATATATGATCGGATTCATATAGTTTACTATTTATCTTAATTCTTTTTTCTTGAAACGACACGGGTACCGTATAATATTTAAAAAATGGGAAACGATGTTTAGCAAACCGATTAGATGTTTATATTCAATGGTTTAGGGTCTAAAAAGTGTTCAAGGTAAGTACATTCCGTATGTCAGGTTTCATAAATTAACGTATTTTCCTCCATTCTTTTACGTCGTTTGGTATTTCATTCGTAGATGCACCATTCCATATCTTAGTAGCCTTAATATATAAAAAAATTTGAAGTAGTTTTAGTCATGTCAATTTCTCACTACAAAAAATAAAAAAAAATAATCATAAAAAAAAAATAAAAATTTGACATGTCTACTTCTTTTGTCGGAATAAAATATCCAACTAATTTGTTTTGGTGGTTGGGTGGATGGTTATGTGACACGTGGCATAATGTTGCCGAACCAATGATTTGCTTTGGTTAAAAGCCAATGGATGAAGCATCGTTAGTTTCCTTTTACATGCAATGGCCCTCTCACCAAATAAATAAGCCTTAACGTAATGTTTTTCAATCATTATATTTCAATTTTTCCCACCTTAACCTCCATTTCCTTTTGTGTGCGATTGTTGTCCATTTCACGATTATGACGCATCATTTCATTTGTTTCTCAACATCATCACATAATTTAGTAAATATTGTATCAAATTCTCGGGTCGGATATTCAAAAAATTGAGAGTATAAGATTTTGGAACCGAATAGTTTGGATTGTAAGTTCTCGAATGAATTTTATTGTTAGCTGTTAATTCAAATATTCAGATATCCATAGATAGAATAGTATATAAAATTTTTCGGATTACAAGAAGACTCCGTGATTTGCATCGTCGAAGCTTTCAACATTCTTCACCATTAATGTCCTAACACTGAGATATATATATATATATATACACTTGACAAAAATACACTGATATATAAATATATATGTATATATGTTTTGTAAATATGGGATTGGTTGAAATTGAAAGCATTTAGGGCCCATTTCCTTCGGCCTTTAGCTCCAAAGGATTTGGGCTTCCTTCTTCTTACACTTCGTTCTAGGGTTCGTATAAGAAGCTAAGCACATTTGCAATTTCATGTATTTCGGCATACTAACAAATCTCCTCTTTCCTTAAAGCTGTTCTAGGTTTCTCCCTGTTCGTTCTGAAGCTTCACGATGTCGCCGATAGTTCGGAGAGTGGCTGCCGTTGCATTGTCTTCTGCATCATGCTTCGTTCGTACTCCTCTCTCTCACAGAGGTATTTCCGATGCAGTCTTACGTTGTTCCTCTGTTTTATGCTGTCGGAGAATGGCTTACTCTAGTGTTAGAGACAGCGATATGTCGTTCAGAGAGAGATTGAGATGTGGGTTTGCTGACAGTAATGTCCACGAAGCTGTTGCTTTGTTCCATCAGATGGTTCGGTCTCGCCCCCTCCCTTCTATTATCGATTTCAACATGCTGTTGACTGCCATCGCCAAGATGAAACGGTATGATGTTGTGATTTCGCTTTTCAAATCAATGGAATTGGTCGGGGTTTCACACAATCTCTACACTTTGAGCATTCTGATCAACTGTTTCTGTCGCATACGT